GGGCCGGGCGACCGTGAGGCGCTCTCCAAGCCGGAGGGGCGGCGGGGCTCTGGGCAGACCCGAAGGTGCCCTAGTAGGGTCTGGGGGGAGGAGGGGTCCGAGCCAGCGTGGAAGCCAGGAGTCCACGATGGGACTCCGAGAATTCAGAAACAGCAACTGTCTTTCCGTTAGGGCGCGGCTAGGGTGTGGGTGATAGGACGGACAGGGAGGCGAAGGGGCGCAGCCTCCCTGGAGCCGGCGTGCCCGAGGTGTGCGCAGGTCACCCGGAGATCCCAGCGATGCAACGACTGCAACACACAAGGTGGCGGGAGAAGAAAAGATTTATTTAAGATAAATTCACTCCCCACAGACAGGGAGCAGGCCTACACCCTAGGTGAGTGTGGCGCTGTAGCCCCCGGAGTCCTGCCTTAAACCCTTTTCCCTGGAGGTGTTGCAATCAGGTAGACGTGACTGCTGTGACTTCCTCATTGACCACCTGCAGATGTCTGGGAGATCTTGACACAGAGACCCACTAATGTCCGCCCACATTATCACAGCCCCTAGAGAAGGGCGTGACAAGGCTTTGTTGTTTTTGTTTTTTTTTCTGAGTTGGAGTCTCACTCTGTCGCCCGGGCTGGAGGGCAGTGGCCGCTGCCGGCCACCGCAGCCTCGACCCGCTGGGCTCCGGCGATCCTTCCGCCTCAGCCTTCCGAGTAGCTGGCACTACAGGTGTGTGCTACCACGCCCAGCTAATTTTTGATTTATTGTAGAGATGAGGTCTCACCAAGTTGCCCAGGCGAGTCTCGAACCCGCGGGCTCAGGCAATCCACTCACCTCAGCCTCCCAAGGCGCGGGATTACAGGCTGAGCCACGGAGTTGGCTATTTCTTTTTCTTTAGTGTTATTTGCACTGATCCCATCTGAGTTCTTGGTTTACACCTCCTCACTTCTTATACCATCTTTTTTTTTTTTTTGAGTTGGAGTCTCACTCGGTCGCCCAGACTGGAGTGCAGTGGCCGCTCTCAGCCACCGCAGCCTCGACCTGCTGGGCTCCAGCGATCCTTCCG